TGAATGTACTATCAATAAAATCCTGGGTCACAAGTACTCACCTTAATATTTAAAAAAAAAAAAAAAAAATTTTTTACCTCTTTACTTAATACCTTTTAATCAGTAGTTACAATAATTTATTATTTTTGGCTTGCAATAAGAGTTTTTTTTCTATTTTAAAACATTTTAATCTTATCATTCTTCTCACAAATTTGATACTAATATTTTTATACATCTTATTCAGGATTTTGCTTATTTTAGTCATATTATTTTTTTTTTGTTATTTTAATTACTTTGCTTTTTTAAATTAGTATTAATAGTAATAGGAAAATTGTGCATTTTATAATAACATATACATGAATATATATTAATGCATATGAAATGTTTTATATACATGATATTGTATAATAAAAAACTATAAAAAAAAAAGAAAAAATGATCAAAAAGAGAGAAATATTAATAGAATAAAATGCATATGAAACAAAATCATTTCATAAATACACATTAATGCGCATGATTTTGCAATTATATATATGCATGAAACCTATCTTTAAGTATTAGGTATTTATTTAGTTTTCAGGATTTATATAAAGTTTTTTATTATTTATTTTGTTATTTTAGTTTTAATAAAAAATAATGATATTGATTTTTTGGTCTTTATATACTATCTTTAATTTGTTTTATTTAACATATTTCTAATCTAAGAATAGTATGCTAAATTAAGATAATTAAAAATTGTATTATATATGAATAACTAATTGTGTTATGTTAAAAAAAATTTAATGTTACAAGCTTCTGAATTATTAAATAACAATAAAAGTTCAGATACTTATATATACTCAAGCCTTTTAGATAATATTACCAAAAGACTTTAATGCTTTAAGTTTATTACTGATAAACTAAATCTAATAGTAACATGTTTAGAGATGAGCAATTGCATATATGATATGCAAAATATGCCAAAATATACATGCATATATGCAAAAAATGCATGTGTATATATATGCTAAAATAAAAATTATATATTTGCCTATCTCTAAATATAATACTTAAACAGTTTAATCACACATTACTAGTCAGTTTTCAAAGTTGGTTCTAATAGCATACTTGTGTAAATTGCTAAAAAAGTAATAGGTTGTATTCTTTAATTTTATAAAAATATATATATTAATATTCAATTGTAACAATAATACTTACCAATATCGATATAAAGATTAAAATCTTCTTTTATACATATGCATATAGAGATGAACAACTGCAGTATTATGTTATGCATGCATGCACATGATGCACACTTAAGTGCTAAAATAATAATCATGATAAAAATTACAGTTCAATTGTAAGTTGTGAAAAAATTTGTTTTCTAATTTATTGCTAAAATAATATAAATTTGATATGCTAAGTATGACTATACATATAGCATAACTCAAAATGCATATTTTGCTTATCTTTAAGTGCATCAGATATTTAATTCAATTTGTTTAGAATTAGATAGTGTGTGTCTGTCAAGTAAGAGTTAATATTAATAAGGTATAAAGATAATATGTCTTAGTAAAAAAAGACTAGAAGCATTTGTTAAAATAAGAAGTATGTATAAGCAGATTTAGATTGAAATAAGTATAGTATGTATTAGGTTAAACATATCTATTAGAGTAACAGTAATAAACATGAGTAGAATTAGGTTGGAAGTATTTGTTAGAATAATATAATTAAAGTTCTGCAAGTTTCAGGCATGGAGCTAAATAAACATAGTACCTGGCATATAGCACTATATTTTTTCAGCATTATGCTTGAAACTTGCAAAACCTTATCTTTGATATAGTATAAATATTAATTTGTAACAGAGATATGCTATATTCAATTAAAATTAGTCAGATTCAAAACCAGAATTCTGAATATAAATTTTAACTTTTTTAAAAAATATATTCTAAATACTTATTTAAATAAACTTTAAAATTTCAGTCTGTTAAATAATTTACATTTAAAATAGTTTGATTTTGAATCAATTTTAGGCATAAAATTTATAATTTATTTTGAAGTTTAAATAAAAAATTTTTAAATAGATTTATAGAATTATAAGTTTTTATATTATTATGATTTATATTAATATATTATATTATATTTGCTATTTGATTAGTTAGTCTGAATTACATGATATTTTCAAATTTGATACCTTCTCAAAACTGATATAGAACTTGTCTACCATGCATATTAGTTTGGAGAGAGTCAATAGTAATCAAAAAAATTTCACAATATTGCAAAATAATTAAAAAAATTTTACAATAATGTAAAATAATTAAACAATTTTTACAATAATATGAAATAATTAGAAAATTTTTGCAATAATATAAAAAATTAGAAAAATTTTACAATAATGTGAAATAATTAGAAAATTTTTACAATAATGTTAAATAATCAAAAAAATTATGCAATATTGCAAAATAATCAAAAAAATTTTATTATAAAAAATAATTAAAAAAATTTTAAACCTATTTATTAATTTTTTTACTTTTTAATTATTATTTATTTAATCTAATTTTTTATTTAAATTTTTTTTTTTTTATAGTTAAAGTCCTTATCTTGAGAATGTGATATTTTTATTTAGATATATTAGAACATAGCATGTCACTAGAGGCTCACCTTACATTGGAGATTACAACTAGTCACACATTACTTTTGGTGTCTAATTTAAGTAGTCTGCTTATACATTGCTATATAAGTTCTATCTAGTTGCCATACTTGCAAGCCAACTAGAAGTCTTACTTATTTAAACTCTTTGCATATGCAATCCTTTTTGTATTATAGAAACATCTTAAGGCTATATCTATCCAAGTTTTTGATGCTAGTTACAGTCAGACCTCCCTAAATGCATCCCCCTTAAATGCATACCCTCCTTAAATGCATATAAATTTTCCGGCCTATTAACGGGCTTAGTAAATAAATGCATATTCTTTATTCTGCAAATGCATATATTTTTTTAGGCCCGCCTATATAACTCTCTTCCATAAATGCATGTCACATGATTAAATTCACACCAGAGCCAATCAAATTGGGGTAGTATATAATATATAAACGGAAAAGAAATTTCACATGATTATGAGCACGACATCGGCCTGAGTTAGGGTAATTGTATTTATTAATGCCAATCATTATTGTGCCCATAAGGCCACTCCAAATTGATTCTTTGTTTAACATAATATAAATATTTTGCAAGAAAGGGGTGGGGAGAATAAAAAAATCAACAGCAAAAATAAAAACACAACAATTCTATTGGCTAAATAAAATATCAAAAATATCAAAGGCTGATACAGCAATTTGATTAGTTAGTTTAGTATTTATATTTTTTATTCTATAGCTAAAATTTTAAAAAATGGAGGGGGAGTTATGTTAAACAAAGAATCAAATTGGTGTGGCCTAAGCATATAAGCACATGAAATGTTGTGACCGTAGCAATCCCAATATAAATGCAATTTTTTTTAGAAAACTGCAACCATAACGACACAACTAATGATTAGCATTATAGTTAAGATTGTGTTAGAATACGGCAAAATTAGAGAATTAGCTCTATACTGCTGTGTCGATAGTAATTATCTTTTTTTTTATTTTAAAATTTAACATTGATTTTTATTTTTATTGAATTCTGGATTCTAAACCTAATAATTAATTATGCTTCGATTTTAATAAAACCTGGCACAAATCTAACTTAAAAAAATAATTTCGTGTCTTTATTAACTCAAAACAGCAACACATCCAAATTTTCCAGATAGAAGCCAATTATCGAACATAGTACGACATAAAACATATGACAAATTTTAAAAAAGATGAACAATAATGTGACATACAATAGAGAATATATGTACTATGTACAGTTGCCTCCAAAAGTTTGTCATGGTTATACAAAAACATAACACAATTATTTGACAAATACAACTTTAGATATAAGAAACCTTCGATGTAAGAAAATCTTGAAGTAAGAAAGGTTTTACAATCCCAATTAAAATTTTATAATAAAAAGCCTTTAATATAAGAAAACCTTGATATAAGAAAGGTTTTTTCTGGAACTGGTAATTTTTATATACCAAGAGTCAGTTATATTCATTAATATTTTATTACTTTGCACGCGATATATTACGCCATTGATCTGGATGTCGATATTTGACTGTTTTCGTGTAACCGTGACAAACTTACAGAGGCAACTGTACATACGTACATTTATGCATCTGCATGTCGCATATTCATATTGTCAAGTTTTTGTTATCACCCTGGCACTGGATCCAATTTTTTTGTTACCTTGGCCCTGAATCCAATTAAGTACAAACTAATTTCCTAAGATTTATAAACCTTAATAAAAAAAAAAAGATTGCCAAGTTTCAGATCCAATTAGATTTCTAAGATTAATAAAAAAAATTGTATGCGAAAATAAGCAAGCAATGTATACCTATTTTTTCCAGTGGCTAAATAATTGATTACTGTGCCATTGTAATTATTTCATACTTGCTATTAAATAATAATCGTTAAACACAAGAAATTATACCCATTAATTTAATTCTAATAAATATGCTATGTTTAAAGCTGATTTTATCATGCACAGCGTTATTTTTATAAGAAACAATACTGCAATAAAATGAATGTATAAACTTATCTTAATCATCATGATATTGATGTGCTTGAAGTTAGTATTCTTGGGGCTATAACCTCAAATGCTTGATACCTAACTTGTTAACTAATGTATATAATAAGATAGGCGAATTTCAGTCAACACAACTTAAAGTTGCAACTTTAAGTGCTTGAAGTTGCAACTTCAATTAAATGTCAACTTTAAGCACAACATTATTATGTAAAGTGCAAGAAAAGCCTCTTAATATAAATGTCTTTATGCATCGTACGATAATGCAATAGCCCCATCCTATCGTCGTGAATAAGAGCATTTTAATAAATTAACTAAATAAATAGTTGGGTTATAAAACCAAGAAAAGTGCTTACCCATCTCATCAAATTTTTTTTTTTTTTTTGTAACTAAAATGTCTTCTACAAACCCTAAAGAAACTAAAACTACACTTACCAATGAGCAACGAAAAGCCATCATTGTACATAAAGATAAAAACCCTAACATAAGTCAAGCTGATATTGTCAATTAGATAAAACAGACAATGGGTCTTGATGTTCATCAAAGTACCATTAGCCATCTACTAAAAAATAAGATGCAATTGGAGAAAATCCTTTAGCAAAAAGACAAAGAACAGTTCAACATTTGGACCTTGAAGACATGTTGTATGAGTGGATTTTACAAAGCCAAGATTGTATAATACTATCTGATGATGTTATAATTAAAAAAGCAAAAAATTTAGCTAAATTGTTCCATATATCTGAGAATGATTTCAAGTTCTCACACGGTTGGTTATACAAGTTCAAAAAAAGACATAGCTTAAAACGGATAGTAAAAATAGAGAAGATGCTTCTGTAGATGATGCCATTATTGCAGAGGCTCTTCCTCGGTTAAGAGAAATTTTAAAAGAATATGACCTAAAAGACATTTATAATATGGACGAAACTGGATTATTCTATCAGTATTAAACAAATTATACTATACGAATTAATGCTTACCTTAATTAATTCTTTTTTTTTTATTTTTTTTTCATTTTTATCTTTTTTTTTTATCTTTTTTTTATCTTTTTTTTTTATCTTTTTTATTTTTTTTTTATTTCTCTTTTTTTTTTTTATCTTTTTTTTCCTTTTATTTTTCCTTTATTCTTTATTTTTTTATTTTTTTTTATTTTTTTTTCTCTAAAGCCTAGAACCAGATACTACACTAGCAACCGTCCGTCTTAAAGAAAAAAAAAAAGATAAAGAACGACTAACTGTGGCACTTTGTGCTAATGCTGACGGGACAGATAAAATAAGGCCATTTGTTATTAGTAAGTCACCCAATTCACAGTGCTTTAAATCCATTAACTGTCATAGTCTTGGTGTTATATATGATGCAAGTCAAAAAGCATGGATGACAAGTATACTGTTTCAACAATGGCTTAAAAAATTTGATTCAAAAATGGCTGGTCGCAAAGTAATCTTTTTAATTGATGGAGCAAGATGTCATTCTTCTAGTAATTTAAAACTACATAATACAACTGTTCACACCCTCCCCCCAAATACAACTTCTCATATACAACCTATGGATGCCGGCATTATAATGTCTTTCAAGTGTCGCTATCGAAGTTACTTTATTAAATGGTTACTTGATTGATATGAATCTGGAGATGATGATAATAAAATGGATGTTCTTACTACTATAAAATTTATCGTTTACGCATGGAGAGAGGTGTCAGCAGCAACAATACAAAATTGCTTTAAACACACAAGTAAAGTTAAAATCCTTTTAATATTTGTCATAACTATTCAATAAATACAGTAGAATCATCCTAATGATTGTTGTAACTTGCCATAACTAGGGATGGGTTCGGTCGGTTATAAAATGATTGACCAAAAATGACTGACCGAACCCATCTCTAGTCATAACTATAGTAAGTAGTATAGTAAGTTACGGAAATAATGCCGTAACTTATTATATTACTTACTATAGTTATGACAAGTTACAACAATCATTGGGACAATTCTACTGCATCGCTAATGACTATTTTTTGCCATCTATGAATAGTCTTGGATATTTATTGAATATTGATAATCTAATAAATATTATAGCTGTTTTCATTAATTTTGGGACATTTGGTAAAAAATTGACCGAATCATTATTTGTCGATTTGATAATTTTGATTTGGGTGTGAATAGTAATATAACAATAATTATATATGTCTTGCAAACCAAAAGATCTTAACAAAAAAATTATCGAATCAGCCAAATAATCATTCAGCAAATTTTTTACTAGATGTTCCAAAATTAATAAAAACAGCTGTAAATATTCATTTTTAACCATAAATATTCACGGATTCCACTTATATATACAGGAATTCTTCCGATTGTTCAAGATAATGAGAATGCTTTTGACGACAACGATAATGATTTGATGGAAGAATTGTATAATAATGTAGAGATGCTTAACTTTCAAAATATGATGGATTTGAAAGAATACATTAATTATCCAGAAGAAAAATATATAACCGGAGTGTTAAGTGACCAGGAAATTATAAACCAAATTACATACCTAGAACCGGAAACAGCTGAAGATGATGAGGAAGATGATAGTACAGAATTACCTCAAGTTAATCACAAAGAAGCATTAGACACTATACGTTTATTAGAGTTATATCTTATGCAACAGAACCTTAGCAATGCAATTCATATAGAACATGACTCAGTTTTATCAAAATTGTCTGGGCTAGTAAGGAAATTCCAGAACGCTTCATTCAGGCAACTAACTATAGAAACTTTCTTTGAGCTGGCTACATAATGTATGTATATAATTGTACAGTATGTTAAAATCAAACCTTCGTTTAATATTGCTTCTCTACCTTCAAAAATTGAACTAGAAAAAAAAAATCAATTAGATCAAAAAAAAAAAAAAAAATGAAAAAAAATTTTCTTTAAATTTAGGCCCAATTTATCAAAGTCGAACATAATTTGGGTTCATTTTTGAGCCTTGTTTAGTTTTTCTTCTCCTAATTGAGATGAAAAATAAAGCTTTAAACCCAAACAGTACAACCGCTTAAGTTAACAATAAAAGTCTTGAAAAAACCTATGTATTCAAAATAGAGTTAGATATTCAATTTTCCTTTCTTATAAAAACTTTAATAAAACGTAGATCGTACCTTTTCTAACTTAGAAATGAGATACGAATGAACTAACGACCTAGAACAGATGCTAATAAACTTTCTCTATAAAATGCTAGCACTAAAAAAGAAAAAAAATTCTTTTTGATCAGTTTAACATACTATGAAATGCATTAAGATTGCATTCGTAAGTAAGGTAGATTAATGAAAAGCTTAACACATTATTGGCTGATAATTCTACATGTGATTTATATATCCCGTAACGTTATTGGTTGTTCTCTAAATGCAACCCTCCCTAAATGCATGCCCTGGAGCTGGTCCCAACGGTATGCACTTAGGGAGGTCTGACTGTATTACCTTTAGGACTAGTTTATTCTTGATAGGAAACTTACTAAAGCCTTTATATCTTATACATATAGATCTAGTTTTATGCAATACACTATAGTTATCTAACACTTGCAGTCACAGAAGTTATCTGTTTAACTACTATGTTACACTATTTCTACCCTTGTAAAGTTTACTAGAATCTCAGTACCTATCTTCCTGACATCTTTTTTATTATTCCTTACTAGCTGTAACTTGAAACTGTCAGTCTCATTCCTGACTACCAATCCAAATGACCCAATATAGTATACTTCTGTATTCTTTTTTTCTGATAAATTTGGTGGCCTGGTTGGTTATATGCTTCTTTATATATATTTACTGTCTAGTTTTAACTTTTAGTTTCTATAAAGGTGTTTTATAAGCTTCAATCAGACTAATGGTATTGTCAAAAGTTCATGCTACCTTTTTATTTAGAAATTTCTAAGTAAATTTTCTGCCATCTTAGTTCCTTAGTCTTCTATATCTAATGGTCTTATTATGGCTTTGCACCTAAGTCTTATGCAACACTGGTTATACATTCCTCTATATATATATAATATTACACTTCATATAGATGCCCTAAGCTCCCAATATTAATAGAATCTAACTTGGTATATCTGGATTATAGCTACATAAGGCCAACTGATCAACAGGAAACAGTTATTATAACACAGATATAAATTTTAAATTTTATTGTAGATAGAATTTAAAACTTAGACCTGCCACTTGGAAGATAACAACCCAATCACTATACTAGGATCATCATCCTCTTATTCAATTTTTATTAAATAATAATTATATAATAATTATATAATAAAAAAATTATATTATATATTTTAGTTTTTATTAAGCCTTCCTAGTAAAGTACAAGAAGTTCCTTTATCATTATAAGACCTTTTAATTTGCATTCACTTATTTTTGATCTGCTTGTTTCTGTCTTGTTTGTTATTTGGTTTATCATTATCTTGATTTAATTGCTGCTCTTACTTATTAATCTATTTGAAATTATGTGAATGTTTTTACTTAATCTTGTCTATTGCTAACAACTGTTTTCTATCTGTTTTTCTTTTCTTATACACCCTTCACATCTTTTGATCTCAGTTGCTACTTTGTTTTCTTTGCATTTCATTTGCCAGTGTTCAATTAAAACTTATTTCTTTTTTTTAACTACTTTCCCAAGTTGTCTGTGATTTCATGTGCCATATACTATTCATTCTTTTCTTCTTTTATCTTCTGATATCTACTCTCATTTGATTTGCATTGCCTGGGTATTTTGTTCATCAGTCTTGAAGTATCTTTGCATTACTCTACTTTTTGGGCTATTGAGCATTTTTGACTTAATTGCCTTGAACCATTCTGCCTTTTTTCCTTTACTCGATTGGTCTTGATAGCTTTTTAGTTGCTGCTATATGATTAGTTTTTCTTCCCTTGTATTAAGTAGTTGATTTAGATATATTAGACCAGCTTTATTTACTTTAACTGCACTTTTTTTTCACAATTGTGCATCTACTAGTTCTTGTATTTTGGTATCATGCCCAGGCATTGTCTATAGCTCAGTTTCTGTTTTAATATTTATTTTATCTTTTTTGCTTTGAGTATTGTAAAGCATGCTAAGTTATTCTTCAAATATGTTTCAGTTTCTGGCTACTCTTTTGTTTTCTATATATCTTCTGCTAAGCCTGCTCTTTGACAGCCTTGTGTTATTCTTAGTCTTGTTAATTGTTCAAAACTGTTTTGTCTGTTCAGCTTTGCTATGAGACCACTTACTTGCTTTATAATTAACTCTTATTATAATGTTCTATAGCTGCCAAGATTTTTGTGCTCTATTATGCAGTTTTTTACTGTTTTTTGTAAACTGCTTTTTTGTTTTACTAAACTTATTATTGGTTGATATATTTCATTTAGACTTCTGTTTGATAGCTTTGTTAGCTGTAATATATAGCTTAGTTTAGGTATTATTATCATATTGTTTATATATGCAATCTGGCTTATCATTATTTTTTTGTACTTTAAATCTCTTATAGTCTAACTTACTAACTCTTTTGCCTTCTTCTTTACTTGCACTTCTCACATTCTGCTGTTTAACCATATTTTCAATAAGTAAACTATTTTGTGTTTTGGTTCTTCTATCATCTTACTTTTTTCATATATTATTGTCTTTTTCTCTTTCTTGATTTTTGTATTTATTATTATTAGTTTTGACTTTAATTCATTTATTTCTATATTATTCATTTCAAAGAACTCCTTAGCTATTTCTAAAATCTCTAATAGTTGCTTTTTACTGTTTGCAATCCATGTTGTATTATCTGCATATACAATTGCTACTTGACGATATCTTGTAATGTTGTTGTATTGCATATCTGTTTGTATTTATTGCTTGACTATATACTCTAACCCTTTATCTTTTTGAATTCTTTCTAGTAATAGGTTATAAAAGAGATAATCATATTAGTGATAAGATTACCTTATCTTGGTCTATTTTATTTCCTACTGTCAGTTCTTCTGTTAGACCATATGCTGTAATTATTCTTAGTTGTCTCTTGTGAAAAAGTTTCAATATATATTTAATTGTTTTCCTAGGTATTTTAATTCTTTGCAATGCTAGTTCAAGACTTTTAAGAAGAACTGAGTCAAATGCCTTCTTCATATCTTGCAATAGTATTCATATTTCTTTATCTTTTTTTTTTTTGCTTCTTCTATTATCATATTCAAAATCTGTACTGGTTACTCTGTTAAGTTTTCTAGAAAACCTGCGAAGTTTGGTTTTTTAAGTATTTCTTTTTTTATAAATACTTTGGCAAGCCTTTTCATTATTTCCTTTGTAACAACCTTTCTAAATATCTCGATTAGTGCTATTAGGCAGATGTTGTTTAAACTATATTCTCACTTTATATCTTTTGGTATCAGGTAAACTTGTGCTATTTTCTACTTTATTGAGATTTCTCCTATTTTTAAGCATAGATCTGCAAAACTTTTGAAGATTTCTTGTATTTTTGTTTCTGCCTTTTTGATTAGTATATAGCTTATATCTAAGATACTAGGAGCTGTTTCTGTCTTTAACTCTCTTAGTGTTTCTTTCTATTCTTTTTCTTTAATTTTTTCTTTAAGTTCTGCATATCATTTCTCTCTAATGCTTTTTCTTAGTTTGTATATTTCTTTTCATTTTTTGTTATTGTTTTTAGTTTGGTGTTTCTTTTTCTAAACTGCAACTTATAATGTTCTGCTTCATTTGTCTTAATCTCTTCTGGCTTTATTATTAGATATATCTTCTTTTCTACTTGCTTAATAAGCCTATCAAGCAATATCTTTTTGTATAGTTTATTTAGAAGACTGGCAAGCATTTTTTCTTGATCTGTTTTGATTATTTTACATTGTTTATCTATATTTTTTTCTATTTGCCTTCTTTGTATTTGTTCTCAGTTTTTTTTCTTCCTTTCTTGTAAGATCTTCTGCTAACCTTTCATGTCTTCTATCCAGGCATATAATTAGTGCCTTTGTGATTTTGGCAGTTTTGCTTCTGCTTTGTTGCCTAGTGCTTTTAATTGCTCATTTGTTTCAATTCTTTCTTCTTCTGTTACTTCTTGGTTCTTTCTCATCTTTGCATGTTTAATTAATCTTTACAACTTTACAATATCTTTTTCTTGTTGTTGTGCTTTTTGACTAGTTCTTCTATTTGCTATTGTATCATATATTCTTTTCTTAGGTATGTGCTTATTTGCTGCAGTGATAATTGCTTCTTCTATTGTATCCCATATATTGTTTATTTTGTTTAACTGTTCTTTTTTATCTTGCACATCTGTTTGAATATCTTTTAAGCTTTTTTTTGTCACTAATTACCTTTGTAGTTCTTGTGCATAATTTTTCCAATCCTCTGGCTTTACTTGATCATATAGATATAATATTTTTGATTGTTCTTTCTTTTTAATTTCTGTTTTATTGTTTTTTTCTATCATGTGTTTGATTCATATTTTTGCAATTATTATTTTATGATCACTTTCTGTAATTTCTTCTGTTTCCTTAATGTTTGCCTTTTGCAAACCCAAAACCAGTTTTTCTAATATCCAAATATAGTCAATTCTTGTTGCAGCTTCTTTGTTTGACCATGTATACTCTCGACTTGTTAGATGTATATTCCTATATGTGTCTATAAAGCTTTGCTTTCTCATTCAATTAAAGATCAGTAGTCTTTTAAAATTTGCTGATTGTAAGTGTTGTCTGTCTATTACATTGTTCACTGTATAATTAAAGT